TATATATGTATATATGCGAAAAATTTGCCACGACAATTCCTTTTACTGAAATTTATGCACTGCCCTGCGGAAATAAAATGAATTCCACACATGGGTAGACACCTTTAGGTAATTTTTATCTATACGTGACGCTCCTTGCGTATCCACCTGGCGATAAATCAGTCGGGCGTTTATTCGCGTCGAGCGGAGGCGAGGTCTTGAATTTATGCCGCGAAACGATCCCATCCACTGCCCGTTGCACTCATTACAAGGAAGTTGCATTCCCTTATGCACCCGTGCAACGCCTGGCTATATGGAGGACGCATGCGAGCACGTACGTTGCATACAAAATTAGGGGTACGAAAAAAAGATAGAAATTTTTGTAAAAAATTATATTTTAAATTTTCACACGAATCTGTAAATTTTTTGCTAGCGTTTGTATGCAGTGTTGCATAACCGCACGGGATGCACTCTGATATGAAACTCGGCGACAGTCGCTCATTGTTTTACAAGTGCAAGGCGCATCTGTATGCATCGCGCGGACATCGCTCTCTCTGGAAGTGCAGTAGGGCCCCGTGGAGCGGCTCGGGAACATTTTATGGGCCTCTTTATTGGTTTATTGCGGTAACTTTGTCGGCGAGTCGAGAGGCACGTCCGTGCAGTTCGTTATGCGTACTGTGATTCGAGAATGCATTTTGGAGGATGCACTTTTGTGCAATTAAGAAAAAAAAAAAAATGGACGCAGGATCCAATTCGCTAGTAGGCCAGCGTAAAATTTACGTTGGATGATAAAGTTTGACGTAATTTTTTTTTCAAATTGCATACGGACACTGGTGCATCGGTTGCATCGTATGCATTAAGTGCATCGACCAACACGTGCCAATTCTTATTGCCACGCTTGTTTTCTTCTTGCTCTTACGTTCATTCTGCACTTTCTGCACTCGGCCATGAATGAAATCTCGCGATCCACCGCTGCTACGCTACAGGGTGATACATTAACGCTGCCAAGAGAATCTGGCAGATCTTTACCAGGAATCCTGAACATGTTACGGCCAGGTGTCGAGATACGGAGCGCGTAACGGGTGTGCAATTAAAATAACAACGAGCAACGATACACGATTTATTATTCGTGACGTGTTAATTGTATTGTCAGAAAATTGTTTTTTTTTTTCAATTAATAAAATTACAAATTTCTATATCACAGTAATACGTGCCGTGATATTTTCGAAGGGTCGAACTATTAATTAAAGGACACCCTGTATATTAGCAACCCACGCGTTTGTCCGTCAAGGTAACTCCTCGAATGGTCAGGTGTGTAAGGAGCGAGGAATAAGGAGCGAAGAGGAAAGGCCAGTCAAGTCAGGATATCTGATGAGACGATTGCATCATTAGCGAGTGTACGTGCGCTCTGGAGCGAGCCGAAAGAGAAATGAAGAAAAGAGAAAGAGAGGGACTTGAAGCAAGAGAATGAAAGAAGAAAATAAAAAAAATCTTGGTTAGAACGACCAATTAAATTTTGCCAGCGTCATTAAATCTGATGAAAATTAACTTTCGAATACTCGATTCACGTAATTTTCGTGTTTCTCGTTAATATCGTTTATTTCAAATTGACGCGGAAAGTTTTTCGCAAAAATTTTGTCCTTCAACTATCTCCGTGCGATTTATGCGTTATCTTGATTTTTTTCCCCCTTATACTGACAATTCTCGTATTTACATCTTCCACGCTAGATTGCAAAGCACGAAATTTATTACGTACAGAAACGTTTTGCGGCTACGCGCTGTAAGTTCGACACAGAAACTCAGAATGGAACTTTGTATTCCGACCTTCGCCGAGAAATGAATTACGAGCCACATTAAATAGCATTTATGCCATAGCTCCTCGACATATGTACAAGTACCACAGTATATTCATGCACGTTGAAATTCCACGGAAACAAGAAATGGCTACAATTTACGATCGCAATGCGGAATCATTGATTATTGAAAAATACCATTTTTCACCTAAGAAAACAGCAAACTCACTCGGCACGCTTTAACAGCGTCGCATCTGCGCATTAACGACCCTTAACGATCATTTGTAAAAAGAGAATAAGTATACTAAAAAAAAATTCAAATTTCAAAAAATCCCATTAGCTACAAAAAATTGCTTGCTCCGACTATTCTTTTTATTCACACGTCACGGCTTCCTTTTATCCGTCGTCAATTTAAAACCCAACGATCAACTCGCACCGTGCGTCAATTTCAAATTTTATCTCTATTGTGCACCAGCCTTGAATTCCTACGTCTATCCTACATAGCCACAACCCTTTACCCACCATCGAGCAAGCCCTATGCAATCCATTCCCGTATTTCTACGATCGGACGCAATCGTATCTCCTTCCCCTTATCAATGTACATCGCGACTCTAAAGCTACGCTCGGCTATCTGCCACGTGAAAGGAACATCTGATTTCCCGATAAATTCCAGCAGTTTGCACGATACGAAACCGTTACGATCCACCCACGTATCCTTAGAAATGTACACATACGCACAGAGAGGACAGATGCATTTAATAGAGTGAAGAGGCGAATGGACTTTTACAATACAGCGAGTAGTTCGGCTTTAAATTAATATCTATGAAAGGTGATTGGTCTGTTGGGAATGGCGGTAAATTCAAAATGGGACAAGAGACATAGGTGGTTAACGGGTAAGTGCATAAATGCACAAGTGCGTAAGTGCATCATATGTATATACATATATAGATAGATATACACGTACGTTTTCTAAAAGCATCGCGACGGTACTTCGCCTCCTTGAGAATCCAGCTTGCCCGTTTCCAATTCCAAGAACTGCCCCTGACCCCCCTCCCCACCCACCGGCACTTCGCATCCACCACGTCTCCGAGCCAAGTAACGCGCTGATGCTGGTAAAACTCGAGACGCCGTTTAACTGATAGCCTCGTACGATGCATCGAATGCCTACCGGATAACGAATTTAAAAACGAACAATTTCCGCTTACAGATGCATTTCACTTTCATGCAACCGGTAGTGGATTCAAGACCGTCTATTAGGACAATAACAGTCAATGCATATCATACGCATATGTAAACTATCATTGCACGGTAATTAGAATAATGCATATACGACACTATAGACATAGAAAAAGTACATGTTAGGTATGAAAATAAATAGGTATGAAAATAGTACGGAGTTACGTGGAACCGGATATAGAAATGTCATTATAATGCATAGGGAGTTAATAGCAGAAAAATATATTTTAACAAGTCATAGGAATTTTTAAGATTATCGTTATCACTGTGAACGTTATCAGTCAGCTAATTAGCTTTGACATACCTTTCTACCTGACAAATTTTCACAGACCGTTACCAAGGGGACATTTTTTTTTTCAATTTTTTTGTTCAACAACCAGCCAATTCCCAGTTTGAATGAGTTCATAAATTCCTACTGCAATTCCACGTTTGACTCGTTACTTTTTGGCGCACGTGTCCCGGGACTTACTCTCTTATAGAACGTGTCCCGATTAAGACTGCAACTAATTGCAGCGATGCACCCGGTCCGGGTCTCAGGGGCGTATGGGATTCCGTGACTGTTGATTATTTGGAGATTATTAATTTTGTATTTTTTTTCCATCACGCAATTGCTTATGTCGCGGTGTCTTTTCTTTATGAAAACACCTGTAGCCGGCGCTGGCTCGATTGGCGCATTAGATAGTTTACAGCCCTTTTAAATATACGGCCTTATTAAACGCTACCGGGGTTCGTGTTTTACACGATGCGCCATCCGAGGCGGCCATGTTAATTACCTTCTATAAAATATACTCAGTGTCGATTCAATGCGTGTCTTTATCTTTTTAGAAGATTAACGAACGGCTCTTGAACGATATGTATATATATATATATACATACATCACTAGGAGAATAATTCACATGATCTGATAAATGCACCTGGGACATGTTCGATTGTTAATTAAAAATGTGACGTCAGACGAACGTATATATTTTATAATATATGCAACATCCATCTAACGGGTGTCATTATATTTTCATAAGATCAACTCGCGGCTTTTAGACTGGCTGTGCACGCGGTCGGACGGATATACTGGAAAAAATTTAATTTTAATAAAAGAAAAACAAAAATGACAGTGGATCAAATTTTGAAATTTTCCCAAAAAAAATTCATAGCTCATCTTACGTCAGACTCTACGAAAACGATCGGTCTAGGTGAGAATAAAAGTTTTTGCTAAAAAAAACATTAAGCCCTGTTTTCGAGATACGAAAATTATTCAAAGTTTTCAAATTTTTCAGTCCAATCCAATTTTCAAAATATTCACGTGCGCTTAATTGATCCTTCGAGAATATCTTACGGTCCGGTCGCACAGTTAAATGCGTATATTTATTTACTCAAACTGTACGTGTGTCTGCGCTACCTACGTGCAATCTTCATCATACGGCGAGCCGACGGAACGATTACAGACGTATCGCGGCACGCGAACCTATAGGAGGCCAGACACCTTCCAGAGTTATAGTGAGTTAATTAACATTTCATATAGATATATGCGAAACGCATATATCGCACGTTATTCCTATATGAAGTCGCAAATGGTAGAAGAGTCAGAGTTAGACGGTCCAGCGTAGATACGAGAGGACGTAGGAGGAGATCTTGGTAGATGCCAGTACATAGGTTGGATGAAGAGAAATATACAGGAAACTAGAATCTCACGTGCGATCTTCCATATCTCACTGTATCCAAATATATCTTTCTTCTACGTCTTCCAGTATGGATAAGATCGAATCTTCTGGTTTTGCGTATGGATTTAGTTGGCAAAAGTGAAATTAAAAAAAAAAAGAAGTTGAATGCCAAGCTGAGCAAGTGGGAGTGAGAAATAGAAGAGACGAGAATGAAGAAAATGGAGAAATAAATATAATCAGGAAATCCTGACTATGTTAGCATTCTTTGTATGTATGTATATATATATACAGCTAATGTGTATATATTCATATGGGTACACATATGTGCCTAGGTAAAATATCTGTCAGGTATTTATTAAGGGTCTTATATAACTGGTTAATTTTACAGCACGTGGGAGTAGCATCATTTGGTCGTGTAGGTTGAATGAAACCAAGGTAAAATCTTCATCCTCTAAACAAGGGAGTGGTCCAATATTACAGCATCCTTTGAATGGGCTGGATGAATGACAAAGTCGTGTAATATTACAGTGCTGACTTACGAATGTTCTGATATAAGGATTTTTTTTCATTTAAACAGACAATCGCATAATTTATACGAAAATACATAAAAAGATTTGATACTGATCCTTATAAATACAGATATCTGTCACGACCGCTGCCACGGATATCAATATCGATCACAATTATCATCCCTTCGTTTCAATGCGCAGGTATGGCTTATAGAAATCTGCTCAGCCAAAATAATTGCGATTTATGACACAGCGAAATGCTAACCATAAAGTAAAATCAATTCCTTAAGCTCCTTTCACAGTTTAACTCGTTGACCCGTGAAACCGTAGAGAAAAAGTCTGGATATCCAAACACACGCGCAGCACCCGATACTTTGATTCATTTGGTATCAGAAACAAAAGGAATTGCGTAAAAGATCGATAATACAGTGTTATCGTCAATAGAATCGACTATCGATCGCTTATCCTCCACAAGGCTGATTATTATTAGAACGTTACGCCACAAGGGACAGCGGGGCTATATTCTCGGATGTAACCCCCTGTATAAATTCTCTCTTGGAATTGCATCAAGTACTCATGACTCTACGGACCACGACTTGGACTTGACTTGACTCAACTCCGGTCGGAGTTAAGTCGAGTCTGGTCTAGTCGGATAAGTGCCCCATACTTACAGGTCTGAGATAAACATCGGGAGCCCCGAGTAAGACCGAACGGCACGCATTACTCTTCGGGTTTCTCGTTCGCCGTAGCAAAACTCTCTTATTCCATGCCTGAGTTTGCGTTCAACTGGACTCTCCAGTTGTGAAGCGTGAGTATGTGGGCACTGACGTCTAAATATAGTCATGTCGATTGCGAGGTGGGGGATGTAGGGGGTTGACCAGAGTGTACAGCTCTACACCTTAGAGGCGTGTACGGTGAGGTCGTGGGGTCACGTATTGATAATTCATTATTTTTGTTGAAAAGAAAAAAAGTATAAATCGTTGTTATGAATTATTGAAATATTTTCTTTCGGTAGCTAGACGAGATATTTCGATACGTGGTTTATGAATTTTATGAAATTCCAATGGAATTTCTTGTGGATTATACCTGCTGAGGTGTTACACGCGAGTCTGGAATGATGAGGGTTGTATTTTGTTTTTTTTTTGTGAAAAAATTATAATTGCTTTTCACTCACCGGTACAGCCTTGCTCGGATAGTCCGTAGTAGAAGGGCTCGCACTGGTCGCAATGGAAGCCCAGGACACCTATGGTGCATTGACAACTTCCTGTTATGGAATCGCAGGTCCTGTCCAGGGCGCCGATGCCGCAATTGCACTTTTCGCAACCTGCCGTTACGTTTCCGTATCCTGCTATGCAGGATGAGCAGTCTCTGCCGGCGTATAGGGGCTTGCACTGACATTGTCCTGTTGTGGAATCGCAGTTGGTCGAGGTACTGCCCAGAGGATCGCAGTTGCAGGCTGCAAGGATTATAGATGATAAGACGATTTGTTTGGTGTTACCGTTGAGAGGGTGATGGAGTTTTTGTGTAATTACGTTGGCAATTTTGATGGGCAGGATTTCCAAAATGCAACTCCTTGCATTTTTCGCACTTCCAGCCTATTGTGTTTCCGCGGCACTCCAGGCATCGTCCTGTTTGCTGATCGCAAGGACCCCCGTTACAGGAGCATTGCTCGCAACTGCCGCCAGGTGTCATTGGAACGCCGAAATAACCAACGTCGCAACTGAGCAGAGGAATTTTATTTTGTTCGTTTACTTTGAGATAGATTATGAGCATGCTGGTACAGTTTTTTTTATATTTTTTTTTCATTTACCTCTCACAATGGTCGCCCGTATATCCCTTTGGGCACTGCGTACACACGTAACCATCTTTGGAATTGTTTGGATCATCCAATTGACAACTGGGACTGAAATTGTTTGATGCAATCTCAAGTGGACAGGCGCACCTTTTGCAGTCGTGAGGAGTACCGACAGTTGGATCACCGTAATAACCGATAGCACATCTATCGCATTTTGGTCCAGTTGTGTCATGTTCACAAACCTGAATGAAAAGACAAATTTATAAATTAATTTAACGTTCAAATACTGTCTACGATGACTCGATCGAAAGTATCGAACTCCACCTGCCATCTTCACGAGGCAGAATGTAAACCTTTCGCGTTTTACCGACCGATGGTAACTACTCAAACTGTAAATCCCTTATCTTAGGAGTCACAGCTGATTAAAGTCCGAGTTACACAGAGCAATCATATAGAATCTTTACAGGGCGGGAAATTCAACTGATTTCTTTAAAAAAAAATATATCCAAACTCACCCCGCATTCTGACATCAGAAGATCGCAAGATCCAGCATGTCCATTGCAATCACACTTGACACATTTATGTACTTCCTTATAAGATGCATTTGCAGATACTTTAACATAACCCCAATCACAATTTTCACAGGACAATCCCGTGTATCCCACAGGACACTTGCAGAGTTCAACAAGTGTCTCACTATCCTCTTCGGAAGCAACTACAGTTTTTCCAATAGGCAGCATAGCGACTTGCAAACTAAATAACAAAGAGTGGGTGTAGCGTCAAATTTAATAAATAAAAAAATAGCGGACATTGATAACTCACCTTCCTTCAATCTGTTCCGAATGATACTGTGCACGTAGCATAATATATTTCAAATCGGCCAGAATTCTGAGCATTTGTAATCTAGTAACAGGATCACCCCGAAATTCGGTTCTTCTGAGTCTAGTCGGTATATCTCTAACCTCACTTCTAACATGGTACCACCCCTGTTCCTGAAGTGGTACAGATATCTCAGCCGCCTGTCCATTGTACTGTTCCTCGCCATACGCAATGCGCATTCCATTATTACCCTGATATAAAAAATAAAGTATTTATAAATGCAAAGTAATACTTGTTCTAATAACTTTAAACTCACCACAAGTATTGCATTAGGCTCGGTAGTAGGTTTCCCTCTGGTGTCTCCACGCATAGCGACCCACGTTACAGAATAGGTCAAATTACTGCCATAAGAAGATAAACGATTCCCAGAGTACAAGGTCGGTGCCAACCAAAATGGACTCTCGTACTCAAGTTCAAAGGCCGCAATTGCCAGCCATCCACTGTCGGTATCCAAAGTGGGTATAACAGCGCGAGAAGCATTCATATCCGTAACCAACCAATCATCTAATGTAGAGATCTAAAAAATATAAGAAAAGATGACGAAAGAAATACATAAATTGTCATTCGAACGTACAATAAAGTCCTTAAGCAATAATAAAATGTCTATAAAAACGATCAGGTCTCCCTGTGATTATCGAAGAATTAAACCAGCATTAAAATCTTTTAGCTCATTAAGTAAATTGAATATCGGTAAAGGCGCACTCCCATTAAATGACATAGAGACATTAAATGACTAGGTCGTAGGTGGTTAGATAGTCAACGGCAAGGTAGTAGTTACAGTTGGCCCCGATAACAGACAGAGAAAGTTGTTGTAAACTGGGTAAATTGCTCCAGCTGGTTTATAACAGACTTGATAACCACTTTGGTGAGTTGACGTCTCATCATCCACAAGTATCAGTCCCGTGGGAACGTACCGTGTCGTAAGACAGACGCGCCGCGACGCATTCGCTAGAGACGCCTGAACAGTCGCAATTTAGACATCCCTCGATATTGTCCCTAGTCAGTGCAAAGTGACCAGGCTTACAGCGATCGCAAAATTCACCAGCAACGTTGGCTTTGCAGAGACAGTCCCCCTCGCAGTCATGGGACGGTAAAATCCCTCGGGAATCGCAAGGACAGGGCATGCAGTCTGGGAATTGTCGATAACCAGCTGCACATTGATCACACTTGTATCCGGAATAACCAGGTTTGCATTCGCAGGCACCGGCTACCTGATGAACATGAGATAAATGACATTAGTAATTTAATTATACGGATTTTTTTCAAATACTAAATAATATCTCAAAATTTGCTTGTACCTTGCCAACGTTTGTGAAGGAATCGTCAGGAGTACAATAACCTGTACTGCTTTGCATATTGCAATCGCACGGCAAGCATGGCTCTGGTGCATCCGGTGAAATTCCATTTGGTCTGTAATATCCAACTTGACATTTCTCACAGTTGACACCAGCCGTGTGTTCCTGTGGAATTGCAATACCGATCAGAACCAAAATCCTCTCTGCTCGTGCTACAAAGAAACCGTAACTCACCGTGCAGTTGATGCAGACCCCACCGCCTCTATTCTTCCCACGAATATCCATCGAGAGCCGTTTCTCTGCAACTTCCGGATCGTACCGACAGGAAGTTGCGTGCCCGTTGCAATTGCACTTCTCGCAATGGAATCCACGCAGGGCGGTACCGATCTTCCACGGCACCTGATTGTACATCGGACAGCATTTCTCACAATGTTCACCACACGTGTGTCTCTCGCACTTGCATTCTTGATGCTGTCAAAAAATAATTCTTCATACTCAAACGATAATAATCATAAAAATATCATACAAGTACAGTGTTGTGATTGGTACAGGAGGACTCTATAGATTCAATCAGTCCGGAAGTGACTTATTTCATTCAATAAACGTTACAAGAACGCACCAACCCAGTGAGCAATTCCTAGCGTCACAAGGGTCCAAAAAAAAAAAAACGGGAATGAAAAATAATTTTTAAAATTACTTCAAAATTACATAACACTGAATATCCCTTATGTTTATTCTAATTCACAATAAAATCCGTCCCAATAATTTTAAAAACATATTGCAAACGTCCTCACCTGTAATTAGGACTAAACTTAAGGTTTATTTCTAGTGCTACGACATACATAATAACCCAACTGATACGCAACTGTACACAATACAAATACTTGTACCGCGGACAAATGGCAATTCCAGGCAGGCAGTATACGTCAGTCTTTATAGGAGCAATAAAATTATCTACTGCGATACGCGTGTCCCTATGAGTGCACGCGTGTACGCGTGGGAGAGTGTACGTCTCCGTCGAGGTCGAGCGACCGTAGAAGTTGGTCGTTATGGTCTACACCATAACGGTTAAGGTAGGTCGTAATTCCATGGTACGTATCAATTCCCATAAAGCCTAATTTGCCGGTGTATTCTATTAGACGGTAGACGCGACGGCTATTTCTGTGCGTTGGCGTATTTCCGTAACATGTATAATACGACTGACGTCTGTTTAATATGCCCATTATACCTGTCTACCAACCGTCAGTTGGTTGAAGGTTAAAAAATTCCATCAAAAAAAAAAATAAATAAAATAAAAAAAAAACAGAGACCAAGAAGCGTTGAACAATTCCAAATTTTATGACGTCATAAACACGCAACGTGTGGTACATGTACACGCGACATTAGATCCTCTTTAATTTCTCGTTAAACGGGTCGTTAATTAAAGACTTAATTGGTATCTCGTGTATGAACATAAGGAAAAAAAGATATCGAATTCCCATAAGGCCCCGTTACAAGCTAGTTTCGTTAACGTATACTTCCGTTCACGTACGCGTATTGTACGTTGTTACGTGTACCTGTGTACTATAGGGGTGCTCAAATGTTTTTGTTCTTGTATTGCCACGACGTTAATCGCATAAGCAGACTGCGGAGTGTCATTCCACTTTTCAATGAAATATGCTCCGGGTTCATTACGCGAAGCAGTAAAGATTAATTGCTCGAGTTGGGGCCTGATTACACGGCGGGTGCGCAGCACGTATGTATATCAGGCCCCGTAAATAATAACGAGCGTTAACGTGAAAATTGTGATTCAGCGCGAATCATTACCATCGTATATAAAGGCGAGACCACACGCACCGATCTCTTGACGATTTATCGGATCGTCGGAATGGGAATTTCGACGCTACCAGGTGTATGGATAGTTTTTTGAAAAATTATTATCGGTATCATAGCCAGGAGTTATTCGAACGAAAGTAAATAAAAATTTTATGGAGAAAAAAAAAAGGAAAAATCGGCAGCGATACAAGCGCGGTATATGATATTAGCGATCGATCGGCAATCGATCGGTGCCGATTGAGACGTTAATAGGCAGTCAAGTATTTCAGATGCCCCAAGTGAATGTCGATAGGTCCCAACAATGCGATCGGTATCCGACCTATGCACCTTCCGCGAATCGGAATCGGTTGCCGACGAAAAACTAATTCAATTACGCGCCTTGTCTCTGGCCAAAATTCAATTCTAATCTCCGGATGATACGTCACGACCATAGCCAGATCACTAATCGGATGCGTATACCGGGTGTAAAAAGTGTTTGAATTGAAAAATAATGCAAATACCAAATAGTGGAATGCTATACGAACGACAGGAATGCCATTTCGGGCGTGTATTTTCGACAGGATCGCATTATTAAGAGATCCTTTAAACGATCGAAATACTTATGGATCGTTATATTATTCAATGAAGAATCTAACGCGTGGTATACAATTATCGCGAAAATTTGCTAAAAAAAAAAGGTCTAAAGTATGTCGGACCCCAAACGAAGCTTTAAAGAAGTTCAAGAAGACTACAGCAGAGAGCGCTAATTGTGCGCGGGTCTTCGTCGTAATTTTCTACGGTGTAATGCGCATTCGACACGGAATTAAAGTACAATCAGTCACGCGCGCAGGTGGATCGGTAAGCATGAATAACAAAATAGACACTTAAAACTAAAGATGATCAATACTTGTAATAAACTAGAAAAATACTAAAATTAACAATCGAATCGTCATGTCCCACGAGACAGCCATTTAGACCTTATATCGATATCTCGAACGATCGTGTCTCGATTTCGCATCATCCCACAGTGGTCATAACGATAACTTATAACAGCGCAGTCGTAAACTCTCAAATGGCAATAAGAAGAGTGAACACGAACGTGGGACAAGAAATCGGTTATCGTTACGAGATACAGCAAAGACGGACATATTGGGCAGGTTACGGTCTTACTCGTATCTAACAAGAGGAATTATTCTGTTCGCGTATCTTTATGCACTTGGATGCAGTCGATGCATACCAATGAGTAAATACAGTGCCAATAAGGCGCGCGGTGCAGTGTAACGCAAGAGGAACAAAGAAATCGAAGTAATAGTATTCGATATAATGCGTTATAAAACGGCGGGAAAAATGGAACAATTCAAATATGCCTAATGGGATTCATGTCTTTATTCCCAGGCGTTTCTTCATTCTCCTCTCATTTCTTGGTCGCCGTTCCACTTTCTTCTCGAAGCTTCTAGAAGCTTCTTCTCCCGTATCACAATATAAGGATCGTAATCGTTAGTACGGCCGGCTAACGGTGATCGTGACTAATGACCGGTAAGAGAGAATTTTGCAAGAAACCCACAAGTCTACGTGGACGGTTTAGTAGAAGGCCTGAATATACGACTGTCAATGGCGGTAACATACGTACACTCACGTAGCTCCAACGAGCAATGGTAAATGACCGTATATGGTACATACGATGACGTTCGAGCAGACCTTCTATTGTATGTAGAATGTACTTTAGGGTTAATATAAAAAATAGAAAAGAAAAAAACATTGCGTTATACGTTACAGTGCAGATACATTCCCCGTTAGGCTTGCACGTGCTAGGATTGTTTCTCGGTTAGTTGGACAATTTTTTCAAGCTCATAAAATACAATTTCAGCCGATCCCGCCGGTGTCGCTAGTGTCGCTGCGAACACGCTACCAGCGACAGCGCCATTAGCTGTGCTGGCAGACAAGCGTCGGACAAGTTTATGGCTCGTCCAACGGATTTATTCGCTGGAGTCGAAATCGCGGAAAAATTCCGCGGACCAAGAGGGAAGAAGACGGGACCAAGTAAAAGTGAAATAAAAAACAAAATATATAACGTAAAGTAAAAAATATAAAAAGAGAGGTGGCACTCGTTCCTGCTAATTTTAGATGGTTGCAACATTGGCGGATGTACTTGGCTCCGTGGGTTGTTTTCATCGAGCGAAACACGTGGGGGTTGCGAGGTACTACCGACTGGACTGTCTTCAACCCTACAGGGTTGAATGGAAGCAGTTCGCGTAAAAATATTTTTCGATCGACTGAACCGTTGATATATTTTTTTTCATCTTAAATTAATTTAACAAAATATTTTTACACGCGAACAAAAGCCTTGTTCACATCGCAAATACTTACACCGTGGTGTACGCTGTAACGACAATGTGACGCGTGACCCGAGCACAGACAATGACCACCGATATTAATTTCTTTTATAGAGTAAAACGCTCTTCTTGGATCCCCAATGGCTTCGCCGTTTCTTCTCAGACCCTGCAAGCTCAGCCGTACGTAACGAGCTTGCGTGAATTCCTCCAGGGCGGCGCTGTGGTTCAAAGCTCCCGGCCTGCCGTTCACCAGGTGTGTATGAATCTGGGGAAGCAAAGAAAATGCAATATTAATATCCAATCGGGGTCATAATTTATTTTCAATCGGATGATCAGGCTGTTGACGATATTTAGTAAAAATAGGCAATAATTGCACTGATTTTTATTGTCACCCGGTTAATCGAACGTAGGAGATGAATAGTAAGGCCCGAAAAGTTTGTAGCTTTTTTGAGCCTTAAAAGGGCCCGCGCAGCATCCAAATAAGGAACAATCCGTATTATTTCGGATCGGCCTGCGCGGACGCGACCAAAGGCTCGTGAATTTTTCGCGTAATGGCGAAGTAGCTAGAATCGAAAGACGTGACAGTAGAAACTTGTAGATAGGTGCCGGCTGCAGTTTAAGTCCTCAAGTCGACTGGATAATTGTTCGATTTCCGAGAAATCGTTGCTCGGCGGTAATTAAAGATCGCGGAACATGGCGTGACCGTAGACTGGTGAACGCGCGAGCGCGCGACCGATGGCAATGCGAATAGAGAGGGGGAGAGAGGGGCGGAGGGGAAGAAGGAAAGAGCGAAGGGGGGCAATAAACGAAAAGATGGAGACGAGATAAATAAAAGGGAGAACGAGCTGAGATAGGAGGGCAATGACAAAAACGGCGATCCCTACATTCCGGCCATGTACGGCGTCGGGGCCTTATAAGGGATCTCACGTAGCCGGCTTAAAGAGGGTTGGCAGTTTTACGCTTCTGTACGCGAAGCTGTTGAAATAAGAAAAAATAAAAAAAAAATAAATAAATAAAACCAAAAAATTTCAGTCAACCTAATCAGTCCCCTCTCTCGTATCGTGGCCATTGGACGTTAATCCTACCTTCGATGATCCTGCATGATATAGAAATCATTAAACAGGAAAGAGATACCGTATAGAGATAACGTAACCTCGATCTATCTCCAATGCAAAATTACAGGATCGAAACAGGATCTTGGCCGGTCTGTGTATAAACGTGAGAAACAAGCCGATCGAAGGCAATAAGGTCCAAAAAGAGGCTGACGCGTTCAGTGGTAAATCCAAGGCCTGATAATCATCCAATCATGTAATTGCTCGCGTACCTTGTAAACCAGGCGATAATTAATACCCCGCTCTTATACGCGGCGTAGCAGTGACATGATAAAACGGCATTGACTGCCCTGGACGTACCGCGCGCCCTCTTTGAATTTTCTTCGAAAATTAATACCGATTTATAAAATCCAAACCGGATGCCTTAACGTCTTACGGATCGCTTACGTCCTTATAAATTTACCATTAAACAAGGATTAATATTACTTCGCCATTTTCCATAGGAGTAGCACGCGAGTAGAGGCTCGTGCAGATGACTTCTGTGTCGGTAAGGTAGATCGGTTTTCCGGGTACCGGCGGTACCGAGTATCGATTCCAGCATTCCTCGTCGCTCGGCGCGTAATACTGCCAGGGTTGATAATTCATGCCGTCCACGGATCTTTCCAAGATCCAAAATGCCGGTCTGGGTGAATTGGCAGCCTTGACTATGACGTAGGCGATCTGATAAACCTGAAAGATATATATATAGCATGATGATGACTCTTGACCTGGGTCAAAATTTTAAATAACGTACAACATCAAACGGCTAGGTATACAGCCTTACGGTATACGTTTGTTCCGGGAAGATGGGTCAGTGTCCAGGATGACGGGTCTTATACCGGGTGTAAGGGAGGGAAAGTGATAATAAGAAAGAAGACACAATATCATCCCAGCGAAACCTGAATAGTTCCGGGAAACCTGGTACGCGGACAGTGGAAAACAGTGAGAGTCACAAGGAAGTCCAGATGGATACTAAACAAAGGAGAGAACAAAGGATAGAGCTATGAGAGTTTATCTTAGACGGGGATTCCCCGTAGAGCGCAAAACCTCTCGGTCGGTAATTAATACGAGGCACGCCAGGATGGCGCGGGATAACCTGCACGGCCTGGGCTAGGCCTTGGCCTGACTCGGTACCGATCCCCTATGGCGCCAACTGTCCAAGGGGCACGCGTGCCAACCCCCTTGGACATTTACGCTAGGGAAATAATTTTTTTCTTTGGTCCAGGTACTCTATTCCATTGGTCCATCAAAACATTCGGTGAGCTCATGAGCTAAGATGGCTCCAGCCTCCGCTCTTCTGTCATCGTTCCGTAGCTTCTCGTCAACGTCTCTCCTCGACGTCGCGGTGTCGTTAGGCTCGCATTGTGAACCGGCGACGCCCACTTTCGGTCATAAAGACAGATCGCATGTCCGCGATACGACGAGTGGGTCCACTCCTTGTATGGAATTGTCCAGAACGGCCGATTCGTCCGAACAAGCCCGAAGCGAGCTTCAATTACCGAAGATTGTCAAGCGCGCGGGTATGTATGTTTGCGGTACCTATATATAGGCTACCGCGTGTCTTTCCTCGGGTCCTTTTCGGGCCTACGGACCCGTCGATATCCTCTTTGGTCGCAGAATGCGATTTGCCTGGCGCGCGCAGCCTTTTGTCCCAACGAGATTCCGCCTGCGGTCCCTCTTATAGGTGGCTTTGCGCACTGGTGGCAATAAGAAGAAACAAAGACAAAGGACAAAGAACAAGAATCCCTGGAAGAGTTATTGCTAATAACAGAAATATATTTTTCTTCGATACAACAATTGGCGCGAACACATTTTTCTTAGATTTTCACGGCCATCGCGTGAAAAATCGACGTATCGAGTAATCGATGTGAATATCGAATTGAATCGACAAAAAAATTTTTTGGAAAAAAATTTTTTTTGAAAATACTTTTTTTACATGGACGTTTCGGCCATTTTTGATTTTTTACCTGTCTTTCGTACATCTTCTCTAAAAAAGAAATCCTTTCGGAAGGGTCGCGGCGCAAATGTTTGACTTTTCAGTCGCGTTAACGCGTCGTCGGCTACCGGAGTACTTTTTTGGTTACGATTTCCCAAAGCATATGTACTACCGACCCACCAAACACGTACACTGGATACGTCGGATACGAGGATGGCACTGCGCAAACGTTTCGTAGGCTAAATATTTATCCTGGCTACACATGTTCGGCTGCTTTTAATCAAGCAACACGGCCTGTTATCTCCAGACTCTTGAGGCAGGTCAGCCAGGTTATGAGTTTTCACGGTGAATTTTTTTGAAAAATTTCACTAAACTCCGACTAAGGATTATTTTCAAAATTAACCTCGGACCCTTCACGAATATAGCAATGCCATTTACACAGTACAATTTAAACTCGTTACCATATAATAACCTAATTTTATAACGTCGTTTCTCCAAGCCTTCACAAAAGACAAATCACGCTTATTTTTCATCTCTGATTACAACTAGGTAAAGGGTCCAATAGTGTCCCAGCGTGAGACATAATCAATTCTCATACACGTACTGTACACGTGTATCTAGCGTATACGCATGTACATCAATAATACATTCTTATCCCCACCCGATATATAAGCTAGATCTTCCAAATATATTCTGAAGATATAATATTCCGGTATATATATATATATATATTTCTCACAGCAATTACGGTTGGGTCTGGTGTAAAGTGCTGTTTTAGGATGACACCCGGGACCGGATCGGTTAGCATTAGTCTGGGAGTAAATACAAAAGTCCTTTAGTCGATAGGGACAAGCCACAGTAGAGGAAAGGAACGCGAAGGGCCTTACGTAGTCCCAACCGTCTATAATGGACCAATGGCGTAGGGGCTTTACGGAATTTTGATCTTGCCCGAAAAAAAAAAAAATTATATTATCGGGCCTTATCGCTGGCCCTGCTATCTGCCAGATTTTTAAGGTACCACACACGACTTTTTAGAAAAATATCTAACGCCCCCCTCCCTCCGCTAACTCGCATAAGTCCCAAAAAATTTTTCGAAAAATTTTATTACCGTCACGAGTATATGTCTGCATACGTACTTTTCGTAAGACACGTGTATCTTCCGCTATGACGGATCGTCTTGACGCTTTATTGACAGGCCCAACTGTGAGACGACGAGCAATGCTGCCAATTCTAAGAAACTGAATGACTCGTTTATGTATGGAAAAAAAAAAAGAGTAAGAGTACTCGACGACGTTTAACTTAAAAGGGAATTTTTGAGAGATCGCGTCGAAAGATACGGATCGTCCAGATAAAATCTTTGGATGCTGAACGATAATCGTGCTGATTGATCTTTTAAGGATTTTCCAAGAAGTCATTTTTCTTCTGTCAATTATATATGTATAATTCTGTGCGCATATAGGTATCGTATGGGTTCCTAATGTAACTCAGATGAGAAATCTCCCACGGATAGATACGAGACGTACTAGTCGGCTTTTATAACAGGCGTTCTATAACGTAAGATCCAGAAGCCTTGTAAGGATACGAGATGCATTAGCATCGAATGACAGAAATGGTTTTACGGTCAGTGCGCAAGATTTCGAAAATCGATAATACACCCGATCGCTACTGTATATACATAGGAGATCGTTTTAAAAGGACATAAAAATTTTTTTTTCAAATATTTCCCATCCGTGATTTTTTAAAATATTTTTATACAAATTTTTTTTTTTACGTATACTTTACATCGACTGACCTCGATCCCACGGGTCATTCGTGTAAAATTATCATGATGGGTGTTCTTTTTTTTTCCCCCAAGCAATTTAAGTTAATCCAGAAAATTGGCCGATTTGCCAGTCAAGAGAATCTCATGACTGGATACTTTCGTACCACCCTGAATAAAGGTATCCTCACAATAGGCAGATCGTGGTGGGTCAATTCGAAAAGTATCATTATCCTGCTCTCCTATACATTTCTCTCGGTGCCTCTCAGCGAGTATAAAAAATGATTGGTACACGTGGTCAACAATGATCACCGGCCCTGACTGTCTGCAGAGATCTGTGACACGCACTGGCACTGAACCATGCAGCGTTAACGGTATACGTTGGCTTCGAAGAAGGAAAGCAACAGAATGGCAGAATCGTAACGGGTGCATGGCAGCAGTACATAACGGGTGATACGTGTCAAAATGTAGGAACGAATACCAAAAAAAATGGTTCGATCTGAAAATGACAAAAACGAGCAACGACAAAGACAAAAAAATTGGACAAATAAATTTCCATTTCGTTTCCCAACCCACGATCGGCGCGAAGAGTCAGCGAGCGTATATAATTTTTTTTTTCAAAATAAAAAATCCCCAACAATTGATCACTACGCCATGGCGTCATTGAAGTCTAGGAACGTGGGCGCAGGCGCCATAGATCCTTATATTCAATCTAATCACGTAGGATTGGTATTGCTTGAATAAAACAATAATAATAATGCAAGCCAAAAAAAAATAATTTCTTCTTTTCAAATTCCATTCTCTCGTTCTGACTCCCGGCAACTGTCGTAGCGGCCTATTTAAAGTGAACCGTGTAAATTTAAACCGACCAACTGGCACCAGCAGCCGCTCCGCCATTTACGGAGTTGGCACGATAGCGCAATGCCAATTTATTAGCGCGCCCTTAGCCTTAGTTAAAGTAACTTTCTTCTTTAGAGACACGTATAAGCCGCCGCCGTATCCATTTGCGGGAGTCTCATGGGCCCGTGAGACTGTTCCGCCGAGACTCAACAATAAACGTGTCGATAGTCTCTCTTTCTCCGTATACCTGAACTCAACGTACGGGGTGTTCAATTTTTTCGTATTCGAGTTCACGCGCAATATACATAAACTGCAGCGATACGAGCTGCAGTGATACTGCGCGTAAGTGTTTCCATTTCGGTCGTTGGCTGATAAAATTCCAGAAATTTTACGTTATCTTACTTGGACCGAGAACGTACCGGCGCGCCACCTGGCGAACGGCGGGAAACTTTGAAACGCCCACGCGATGATTTACTACACGAGCTTCGGCAGTCGCGAACATTTTACAACCATTTACGTATATTTACACGGTTGAAGTTCAAACCTCGAACAGGCAATTTAAAAAAAAAATTATTTATATGAATTTTAAATAGTTCAATGTACCAAGATAATTTAGAGATACTTGAATATCGAGATAAAAATAAATTAGCAATTTATCGTGCGAAAAAAAAATTAATAAAGACAATTTTAATGGATTCTGAGCGATCGGTGTTGTCTGTCCTTCTTTCGCGCACGTTAACCCCCATAAGTATCTCTCTCTCTCTCTCTCTCGCACTCACGGCAGAGATTACAGAGATATATGTATAAAAATTATACAAACCGAACCAGTGAATTGCGACTGGCGGCTAGAGAGTGTACAAGAAACTTTAAATAAGTGCGTATGGTTTTATATGCTAGTACGTATCTACATATGCTAAGTGCATAGATAGATTCTATTATATATGTACTATACGGGGTAGGTTACGTACGGTACAAGTGTTTCACGACTGCATCCAAGTCAAGAAGATCCTGACGCAGATAACTGCACGACATTGAGATCCGTTTGAGATATAAGGAGAAGCCCTACCTTATAGCACGGTGTGGCCATTTCCCTCTTGGGGACTTAAGGCCCATAGTGCACGATTTAACCGCCGAGTATATAGGACCGGCATTTAT